AAGAGTAGAGGAGAGAAACTTTATTGGCTGGGGAAAAAAAAAAAAAAAGGAAAGAAACAAAAAAACCCCAAAAACCAAAACCCAAAACCAAACCAAAAATCCAACACAAAACAAACACCAAACAAAACAAAAACAACAAACCAAACCAAAATCCTAAAACAGCTTTAATGAAACAGTAAGACTAAAAAGAATATCTTAATAAGAAACTAGTGAAATATATATAAATATATGCAAAGCCAATATCGAACTTCTCCAGAGTGCAGACTGAACTCAGCAGCAGATGGAAACTGGATTCAGGAACTCATAGATTGGGATCGAAGGCAGAACAGGGTTCTCCTCAGCTTGTGATCTGTCAGCTTTCTCCTGAGTATGATGTACACTGAATGGAATACCTTGCTACTCAAGTTTGGGTCACCTGTCCTGTCTGCTCCTCCCCACAGGTGCAGCCTTTTACTCACAACCCTTTCACTTATGTCACTCCAACAAGATTTAGCATTGCCCTTGGTTCCTGTAGGAGCAAGTATAAGCAAGAACCTTTCTGCAAACTAATCCTTAGTAGTAACTATAAGCATCAAGCATTATCACTTCGAGAAGCAGACACTGGCTGCAAAAATATGCCGTTAACTTCAAAAAGTGCAGTCACGTAGAAGAGACTTTCCTGACAAGTTAAATCACTGAACAGAGAATTGGTTTTGTTCTAGTTCAAACCAGGACATTTTATTAGCTTAATGCTTGTTATTTTATGAGAATTTTCTGGAAAAAAAAAGATGTGTTAGAATCAGTCAAGTTACTTACTAATTCCCTGCAGGGCTCCTCCTAGCAACTGGGCATCCATAACTGGGTTAAAATTTGGAGCAGGAAAAATCGTTCCTTGTATCTGCTTAAAAGAAAGCAGTCATTAATTGACATTTTACATGTCTAACACTGCATATATAATTCTGTTGAAAACCAACGATCATAACTTTAAATTAACTTTGTTTCATGGGGAACAGGATGCAAAGGTTTTAATTTATGCAATAGATCTTAAACTTGCAGTTAGCTCTAGGAAGGTAGACCATATTTGAGGAAGTTGCCATTAGCCAGAGTTAGGACTCAAAATGAACAAACAAAGAAAACAAAACAAACCAAAAACCACCTCAAAAACCCTATTTTTTATTCTTTAAATATAACAACATTTTTGTGTCCATCTCTTTCCCAACCTTTTTCTGAAAATATTATTATATCTCTTAATGTTAATTCATGATACCCCTGACAGTCTTCAGTATTTTTTTCTCATAGTATTTCTAATTTGAAAGGACTACTGAGAAAATGATGAATGATATACATAGCCTGCTTACAAACTTACTGATTTTTTAAAGAAATTATGTTACTGCTAAGTGTGAGATAACTTTCTAATATGCTGTGTGGAAGTCAACACCATTTTTCCAATTGCTTTGTAACTGATTAAATTATTGTCAGCTTATTCTCAGTGATCCTTTATTTAATGTAGTTATTCTTTTTAAGAAAATTGTAAATAATATATAGAATTGATATATTCATTTTAATAGAATCTGAGACCCATACTTGCACAGAAGAAAATAATAGCTTGAAAGCTACTTATCTATGTCCCCTGGTTAACATCTTTAGTGTCTCTGAGGATTCTACCTCCTTTTCCAGATGTACCAAGTATAAAGGTTATCTTTTATGATGATTTCTGGTCTCAGTCAATACATCTGATTAAAATGACACTGTTAACTTAAAATTTACTTTTAAAGGAAAAATGAAATCTATTTTATAAATACAAATGGAGCATTTTTACTAATACTTCCTAGGATCAGCAGTTACATTGATTACACAAATTAATATGGTTTTTTTTGCTCACTTTACATACCCTTAAAAGCCTTTTATATATTATGCCTCCAGTAGTAATGACATACACATACAGATTTTGTGTGTAGCTGTTAATCATGCTTCCCTGGGCTTGCAAATTCAGCAAAGGAATTAGAAAGCACCAAGCAAGAAGTGGATATTTTACATGAGAAGGAAGACATATGATATGGCTGATCATTACTTTAGATCCACCAGGCAAAGGTAGGGGCAACAAATTTTCAGTGTCTAAGTAAGGTGAAGAATGTATGGTCAGAAATTTAAGAATTCTAAAGTAGTTACTTTAAAAACTATTAATAGGGCAATATGCCTTTAGACAACAAAACCAGTACTCTCCAGCATACAAATATCCTTCTGCAGTTTGATCATCAATTAAATACAAGGTCCTACTTTTACAACTGAACATAAAATACATAGTGCCTTTTTACTCATTAAAACAGTCAGGAAAATATTGAGAACAAAAATATTTTTGAGAAATGGAGATAAAACTGTCCATAAAGAAGACAATGAGACCATGCCAATTTTTGTGGGTTGTTTGATCTAAAAGGAATTGCAGGCTGATCCTTAAGATGTGCTCCATCCTGTCTTCCTTTGTCAGTGTGGGAATTGTCAGCGTATCCTGAACCTCATTTGTCACTTAACCTATCTTTAGGGTTGCAGTCTGCAGGTATCAGCCTCAGAAACTGACAGTATGTAGCCCCATGGCATCCTAGCTGCTGACAATACACATGCTTCTTCAAGTGGTGTTCACCAGGCAGTGGGATCATGAAGCTGGGGGGATACTGCAGGTTGTGACTGACCTGCACTAGTGTGAAAAAAGCTGATTTTATCTCAATGCAAAGGGAGCTGAGGGTGGCCTTTGGTTTAGGTAAGCAGCTATCAATAAGTTGAGTGGATGAACTGATGATGTAAATGTTTATGCCTGGGCTCATTAAAAGCCTGTGAATGTCTCTCTGAGTTAACCAGATCATCATGAAGGGAGTGAATACGTGTCTCAGCCCAACATGGAGTATAAATACTAAACAAATAGCAGAATAATTTGGAATAGAGCAATAGGCTTGAGCTGGCTTCCACTCAGGCATTCCTTCCGGCTGACTGGCAGTGGCCAGCACTGCAACAGTGAGCATATCACAGAGACACCAATAGTGGGGATCTCATCAGTATTACATTTGTACTGTATTTTTGGTGCATTTTGTATTACTCTGCTAGCTTGAAAGTCCTGTGTAAAGTCACTTATGTTCAAATAAGTAAATTTGATATTATACATTACTACCTGTATAGGTGGAATATCTAAAGGAACCTGGTGTGGCACTACTAGACTATTGAGTCTGTGACTGTTTCTGTTTTGCTTACGCAACTTTTTTCTCCCCTAAGCTCTGAAACGCACAGGGAAATTAATAGTATGGTCTGGTGACTTTTCTTCCTCATGCCTCAGGAGGGTCACTGCAAGGATGCTAAGTCATTCCCCTGTTGACATTTTTCTTACTTTGTATTCATTTTAAAAAATACATTTCATGATTTCAGATATAGAATCACAGAATCATAGAGTGGTTTGGGTTGGAAGGGTCCTTAAAGATCTTATAGTTCCAAGCCCCCTGTCATGGGCAGGGACACCTCCTACTAGATCAGGTTCTCAAAGCCCCATCCAACATGGACTTGAACACTTCCAGTGCTGGAGCATCCACAACTTCCCTGGGCAACCTGTTTCAGTGTCTCACCACCTTCATAGTGAAGAACTTCATTCTAATTTCTAATCTAAATCTACCCTTTTGAGTTTGAAGCCATTACCTCACATCCTATCACTACAGGCACTTGTAAAATGTCCCTCTCCAGCTTTATTGTAGGGCACCATCAGATACTAGAAGGCTGCAGTGATGTACCAGACTATCCTGAATGTCAAGTGAAATTTATGTAAAAGAAAAAAGTTACCTGCATAGAAAAGAAATAAACCTTTAAACACCCTCCAGTGAATTAAATGTCCAACAGGGTTATGAGTAATTCAGGCAACAACTCCGTATCAATCAGGATGAATTATTAGGAAGGCCATAGCACTGGTACTACCATCAGATTCCAAGAGCTTTGAGGCAGCAATCACATTACAATAACTTATTCTGAATATTAGTTGAAAATATTTTACAGGACCAGAGACAACATCATAAATCAAAGCGAATAAAAACCTGCAGAATCACTACAGCTTTCTCTGCAAAATAGAAAACATGAGCAGAAAACTGCCATAAGACAGAGCATCAAGAATTCCTGTGGTGATCATCTTTAAAACAAAAAAAAAAAAAAGGGAGGGGAGGGGAAGCCAATCTATGCTTTTATCAGAAGCCACCCTAGGTGGAAACAACACAAAGAAAAATACTGATGTGCCCAACAAGAGCATTAGTAAACTGAGACAAAAATCAGTAAAGAGCGTGTTGTGCACTTTGAGCACTAGGCTGATGTAGAATAAAGACGAATTCAGGAGAGTAGGATCAGCAGAACAGTGGCTGAAGGTGAGGGGGAGGCTAGGATTGCATTAATATCAGCCTTCCCTTTCTTGAGAAATACTTTGAGTATTTAAGTAGTTATTGTTTAATTAGTTCAACACTTTTAAATTAAAATTTATAATGATAAAAATGAAATGCCAGCCTTTCATCTACAGACTGAATAAATTTCTTTGATTTGTAAAAAGAAGACTCTTTTAAAGTTAAAACTTTCTGGTCAGAACTCTAAATGTTAATTCAGCTTTAGTCTGCTGAAATTTGCTTTATCCCTGAAACTTTAGAAGAAGAAAATCTACTAAAATACCCAAATTCCCTTGTATATCCTTAATCCTTAAGGGATTTTAAGACCCACACCAGCTTATATTAAAGAATCAAGGACTATTTTCATTTTCTGGAAGGAAGACAGACCAGGCCCTTATGGCTTTCTCTGACCCTGGGTTTAATATATCTGAATTTCCCTCTGTAGGAAAGTCCAATTTTAATTATTTATCTGTAACCAGCTACTGTGTAGTTAATACTAAAATTCAAGATGGTATTCTTTCTCCAGACTAAAACCAAGTATGCTCTGTGTCTGTCTTCTTCAAGTAAAAGTGATTCAGAGGTTCATTGGAGTGCAAAATAACTAACTGACATAGCTGTTGAAATGCAGAACTGCTCAAGTCATGCAGATGGTGAGATGAGGGTGGAATAAAAGATCTAGAGATTCATGCTCACATCAACTTTGTAATCCTGAAGTTCACACTTAAAATGAACATTATGTTGCTGTTTGCTGTGAGCTGAAATTACGCTTCATGGCAAAGCTAAATCCACAACTGTGGAAAGTTTTGCTGTGACTGTCTTGATGTCAGAGGAAGAGTTAGGCATACATTCATTGAATGTAATTTCTCTAAATACAACCCACCCACTAAAGTAAAACAAAACTGTGATTCAAATGTAACGGAAATCTTTTTAAAAGTTGAAAAGAGCAGGGATGTTTTTTGATCATTTAACGCTCTCAGTACTAGGATTTTATCCAGATCTCATAGTTTGTTTCAGTGGAGATCTTTGTACTGATTTCAGGGAGCTTTGGGTTATGGCCTTAATGAGGAAAACTTTTACATCTTGGTGAGGAAAGCGAGGAGAACTTGTTAATATACAGTGGAGAGTCTCCAAGGTGGTTAAAAGGCTGGAGCATTTGCCCTGCAAGGACAAGCTAAGGGAACTGGACCTGAAAAAGAGGCAGCTTTGGAGGGACCCAACAGCTGCTCTGCAGTCCCTATGGGAAGAACATGAAGAACATGGAGCTGTGTGGAACTGTGATTTGCAGAGCAGGATGGCATGTTTTGCTGAACAATCAGTGCAAACAGTGAGATTCCTGTAAGTGAGAAAATTCACAAAAGTATCTACCAAATAGCAAATGTTTGTAGTTGGTGGATTCTGTTGGCTGCTCGCCCAGAGAAGTGTGTAACCATCAGAAAGCTTTCTCACAACAACTCTGAGCTATGCCAGGCCTGACAGGGCGCATGGACAGAGCGTGGACAGT